TGAAGATTTGGATTGTATCCCTAAGAACCCCTTACCCTAAAAGAAAAGACTTCTTTCATTGATAAAAAAAGACCGTGCAGTATGCACGGGTTCTCGTTAGTTATAATTACAATAAACTTCAATACAATACAATGAAAAAAATTGTAGGCATTAGTTTTTCTGTTTTTTTCTTTTTCTTGTTTTTCTTTTTACGATCATACATAGGGTGGTAAGTCCTCTTATGATCTTTTTATTTTGATGTTTTTCTTTTCATTTTAGATAATCAACAATACATACAAACAAATAACAATTGGGTTAGTTTTTCTTTCTTTTCTTTTTAGAGATGTCATCGTTCAACATCATCTGGTGAGTTTTATTTTGAGTTGAGAATAAATAAGACTCAGATAAGTGAGTGTTAGAGAGAGGGAAGGGAAGGGAAGTTCTGTCCATTGAGTTCGTCTTATAAGAAGGACTTCTGGGTAGTTCCTAAAAGCCCAGCCAGGAGCGGCTCTGATGTGGGTGTAGCTGTGGGTGTGAATATGGTTGCTCTTCTTAGTCACATCCACACTCTCGATTATTCATTTTATTAAAGATTTTATTCTCTTAATTTAATTGAATATCTATTTATTTATATGGTTTTTTTTGTTCTTTTGTCTAAATATTTGAAGAAGATTTTCTTGAAAAAAAATGTTTGAATTTTGTTGTGAATTAATTATCAGGAAAAATAATTCTTAAACAAACGAACGAACGAAGACGATAATTAATAAAAGAAATCTCTAAAGGTATATAAATAGAATTTCTTTATGATAATATGTTCTTTATTTCCTTATGAATTTTTCTATTCTAAGTAAATTATCAATAATTCAATATATGTTTTCATTTATTTCACGATCTTTGCTTTTTTTTGTTATATTTATTTATTCAAATGCAAACTATAATCAAAATTAATTATTAAAAGTGCTTAAATAATAGTTAAAAATCTTATTTAAATATGTTTTAAAAAAACGAAGAAAATAAATGCTTTTCTTAATAAATAATCGTTCGAATAAGATTAAAGTTTTTTTTCAGCTCGACTTTTTTGTAAAAATTTCAAAACATAATTAACAGTTTTGTCTAATATTGATTTATTTTGTATGCCATTTGTACATGATTTTGGATGATTACATGTATACCAACTTGTTCGACTTATTTTATTTTGATCATCTTGATGAATTTGATGTAAACGAAATTTATTTTCATCAATTTGATTAAGATAAATTTTTTCTTGAAGTGTAAAAAATTGGTCTTGTTGTTTTTCTTTGTTACATGTTATTGGTTTAGTAAATGCTGGTTTTATATTTAATAATTGAATATTTTGTTTTGGATAATAATTTCCTGAACAACTAAGCATTTGTTTATGTCCACCTTTCGGAATAATTAAAGTTTTTTTAAGATTTTTTCCAAGTAAATTAAAATCAACATTAATTAATGATAATAATATTGATTTAAATGTTGTAAAAGATATAAATTGATAATTATCAATAAATAATAAACTAATCGGTTGTTTAAAATCTTCAATAATATCAGTTGTTAATTGAATAAGTGATTTATTTATTGTATTATTTGTTAATAATTGAGATAAAGCTCGAATATGAATTATTTGTTCACTATGATTTGTAAAGATTTTTAATTGAATTCGAGATTTATTTGAAGCTTTTTCTAATGAATTACATAATTTAATTTCATTCGTTTTTTTAAATGTTTTTATATCAATATCATGTCGACAATTTTCTAATTCTTCATATTGATCATCATCATCATCATCACTAGAATCCCCATCATCATTATTATTATCATTATAACATTTTGTTATTTTAAATAATATTAACGTTAAAAATAATATAAAACTTAACTTATTTGAATACATATTTCCTTTCTTTGTTTTGTTTTCTTTTATAATATAAATGGTCGAAATCGTTTTTATATAAGAAAGATAAAATAAATAAGATTATATCTATGATAATATAATATTATCTTCAAGGTTATTTTAATAATAATAATCAATGATAAAAGATTATCTTTATTATAGTGGTGATAGATAAATACATTATTCATTCATTCGTTCGTTCGGTCGTTTATTTTATTTTTAATATTTATATAAATAGATTATTGTTGACAAATCCAAGGTATTTCATAAGATAATATAGAGGATCGACAAAAATTCATGTTACTAAGAAAAAGCAAAGTATCTTGATTAGTTCGAATATTGATTAAATATATTGTTTTATTATTCTTATTTTTGAAAAAGTAAAATATTCTTGTTAAGGTTAATAATCATAGTTAAGAAAAATTGTCATACTAATCTTCTCTAAATGAATTTCGAATGGGAATATTTCTTTATTATTGCTTTAAAAAACTGAACCTCTTTAGTAAAGTTCTTATGGAAATATTTCAATGTTTTTATTCAATAACATGACATTTGAACCACGTTGTTTTATTCTTTTTAATATTTTTAGTAAAACTCTTATAGATAGATTATTTATTATAATTTGAAATTTTTCGTTTTTATATTGAATAAAATTCATTAAATATATTTTTATTATTATTTATCATTGAATAATTCAAATTGATATTAAATAAAAAGGTTTTATATTTAAATATAAGGATATATAAGAATATCTTATCAAATTGTTGTTTTATTGTCTATTTATGAATTATCTTCGAATTTTTATTTTGAAAAAGCTTTATTACAATCTATGCCTATGTTATACAGCAAAAGTTTCCCAAATATTAACTGAGATAGAATATGTTTTAATGTTAATTTACTATAAAAATTGTTGTTTTAATGAAATATGTCTTTCTACAACTGATTATGTTATGTAAATATGTAAAACATAATAAGAAATTGAGAGAGCTGAATTTTTTATTCGGAAACATAGAATTCTGATAAGCAAATCTATAGTAAAATTTTCAACGAAAACAAATTCAGCATTGACAAGTTATTTTACATAGAAAATTTGAAAAAAAATCGTTCTGCATTTTTTCATATATTGTCAATTTGTAAAGAACAATATCTAATAGATTCCTGATTTTTTTTTGAGTACTTTAAATTTCAGTAAAAAAAATAACCAAAGTGATTGAAGAGTTATAATAAATAATTTTTAAAAAGTTGTTCGATAAAATGAGTTAAAATCCAATTTTTAGAAAATAATCTTTTTTTTTATCCAACGAAAAGAACTCATTTAGAAGAATTTTCTTGTCATTTTGTTACTATTTTAGTCGTCTTTCTTTTGTCTATCTTCGTTTTCTCTTCCATTTTTATAGAGACGACGCTAAAATCGTTCTTGCACTAAAATAAAAAATTGTCTGCGGGTTATTAAGTATTTCGGGTGAATGAGTGTGAAAAGAAACGAATATATATCATTTCAAGCGATATTCAATTGAATATTTCCTACTTTTCTTTTGTGTTATATCTTAGACATTGAAAATATCCTTTTCTTAACATATATTCCTATAAAATAGAATTTTTTGACAGGTAAAACGCTGATAACTCAATAGATGGACGAGTTAGAAATCTAAAATATTATATGTAAATGGGACACTTAAAGACGATTAACATATAAAAAATTGGTCTAAGTCGGTGGATCATGAAAAAAAAGTTGTAAGTGAAATCGAACTAAAATTTTAATTGTACAAATAGGTTGAAATTCACTGATCTATATAAAGATTATTCATTGTTAATAACGATTGATTATTAACTAATTGGAGACGGAAACCATATATATGTCGTTTTACTGTGAATTAATCTGTAACTAATTTAGGCATATCTATTTGAATACGGTAATTACCTAATTGCTTATGGAGAACCTATATTTGTCCTTTCCAATGTGTTATCACATTGGTATTTTCATTATGTCCTCAATTACCTTTTTTCTTTCTGTGATTATATTCAGAGAATGCCAAACGTTACCGATCCGTTATGAAAAGATGATAACAACTCTCGACATACTGACATTTTACTTATTGTAAAATGGCGAGCATTGGAAAAATCCGTTTTGTGACACTCGGCTAACAAGGTCAGCAAAAAAGGGTTGAGTCTAAATATGAATGCGCTGAATCGAACGTTGATCTTTCTAAACGAAGTTATTTTCGATATTGTCATACTGTGAAAGACTTTTAGACATTTGTGCGAAATAAATATATTGTTTCGTAGGGTGTGGGTGTGGGTGTGGGTGTGGGTGTGGGTGTGGGTGTGGGTGTGGGCGTGGGTGTGCGTGTGGCGTGGAGTGTAGTTCATCTATTCACACCCATCAACACCCTCACCCACACCCACACCCATTGACGACGTTCGACCGAGCTACGGTGGGCAACCAGGTGGACATGACCGAAAGTTCTATTTTCCAAAGTTCAAATATTGGAATGAATACATCTATGATTAGTCTATCTTACCCTAAAACTAAATTTCCAGAAATCAAGTCAAACCCTGGAAAAGTCCATGGTCAAAAAATTTGTTCATAAATCGTTAATTATACGGAGAAGATTTTGTTATTAACTTATTAAAATATTTTAAAATGAAAAACTATCTCAAACG